GTGACAGAGTGAGACCTTGTCTCTTTAAAAAAAAGCTTTTAATTTATTTTTATAAGTGAAGTTGAATTTTTTGTTTTTTGAGTTGGAGTCTCACTCCTTCAACCAGACTAGAGTGCAGTGGCCGCTCCCGGCCACTGCAGCCTCAACCTGCTGGGCTCTGGCGATCCTTCTGCCTCAGCCTTCCAAGTAGATGGAACTATAGGTGCCTGCTACCACGCCCAGCTAATTTTTGATTTATTGTAGAAACAAGATCTTGGCAATTTGCCCAGGCTGTTCTCGAGCCCACTCGCCTTGGCCTCCCAAAGTGCTGGGATTATAGGCTGAGCCACTGAGCCTGGCCTAAAGTTGAAATTAAATTACTGTTTTGACCAGGTGCAGTGGCTCATACCTGTAATCCCAGCACTGTGGGAGGCTGAGGAGAGAGAATTGCTTGAAACCAGCCTAGGTGAGACCTTATCTCTACAAAAAATTAAAAAAAATAAGCCGGACATGGTGGCATATGCCTGTAGTTCCAGCTAATCAGGAGGCTGAGGCAGAAGGATTGCCTGAGCCCAGGAGGTTGAGGCTGCAGTGAGCCATAATTGTGCCACTGCTTCCAGCCTGCAGGACACAGTGCAACCCAGACTAAAAAAGCAAATAAATAATTTGCTGTTTTATCTCATTTTTCTCACTTGTATTTCTATATATGGCAAATAAATCAAGCATATAGCTATGACAAGTGGCTTGTTATTTGGTTTAAAGATTTTTCTTTTTGCCTCCTGAATGTAGAATGTCCAGGATCAGTATCAAGAAACCACTGCAGAGATGATGAATTTAAAAAGTGGTTGGTAGCTTGGATTTATACCTTTACCATTCAGCAGGAGAAGAGTTATTTTCAGAAAGTTGGAAATGAGGCGCTAAGTGGCGAGCGTTTGTGGATGAGAGAGCACTTTGTTCCAAGTTCCAGAGCATGCCATGGCCAGTGACTGTTGCGGTTGACAAGTGAGAAACCGACCCTCCCAAGGTTAAGAAACGTAGATTCATGACACATGAAAAAGCATATTCTATTATGCCAGTAGAAAATGACTTCTTTCTACTGGTGTTATCTTTTTCAACTCTTACTGCTTGCTAGATATTTTGCTCTTAATCTCTACTTCACAGATGGGAACACTGAGGCACAGATAAACTGATGCAGTAGTTTGTCCAAGTTCACACAGTTGTAGAGTGGTGAGTCTGAGAGTTCCCATGCAAGTCTGAACTCATAAGGCTTAGCAGTATGCTAAGGGTTTTTAGGCGGCAATTTCATCTTAAAACAAATTCAGCTTTAAAAAGTGTTTCTCTTCAAGTGAATCTGAGCATGTTGGGGTCTGGAGAGATGGAATTGTTTACTTTTAATGGCCTATTCATTCAGCCTCAAAGAAGCTTCTTACATGTTTGCTTAGGATAAATGATTATGCTGGATAAATACTAAAAACTGTTTTGATCTTATGAAATTTACTATCTGTGTACTTTTGGGGTACAAAAACAAATTGTGGGTTGGTAAAATTTAGTGCTTATTTACAAGCTTTATTTCCTTTGGTTCCCCAAATTTTCACACACAGAGTGAGCATCGTGGTCAGATTTTAAGGACCACTGGCAGCAGGAAAGGTAAGCAACATGAATTGGGGACCCCCCAGTAACTGCCACCCTGGAGAAGTCTGTGGCATGAAACAGTGAATGGCTGGCTGGCTTTAGTGGACAAGACAAGGCTCTTGATGAAGAGTACTCTATTCATTCTCTGATTTTAGAGCAAAACAAAAAAAAAGCACATTTAAATAAAAACATTACAGGAACCTTTAAAAAAATCTTAATCTTTTTAGTACGTGGCTATTACAAATATATTTTCTATAACATAATGCATCAGTGTTTATTGAACACCTGTTAGGATATCAAGTATGGACTACTGTTCATTTTCATTGATTCATCCTTTTTTTTTTTTTTTTTTTTGAGTTGGAGTCTCACTCTGTCACCCAGACTGGAGTGCAGTGGCCGCTCCCGGCCACCGCAGCCTCGACCTGCTGGGCTCCGGCGATTCTTCCGCCTCAGCCTTCCAAGTAACTGGAACCACAGGCGCACGCTACCACACCTGGCTCATTTTGATTTATTGTAGAGATGAGGTCTCGCCAAGTTGCCCAGGCGGGTCTCGAACCCGCGGGCTCAGGCAATCCACTGACCTCAGCCTCCCAAGGTGTGGGATTACAGGCTGAGCCACTGAGTCTGGGTGATTCATCTTTCAATGTATATATTTTAAATTTTAATTTTTATAGAGACAGCATCTCTCTCTGTTGCCTAGGACGGTCTCAAACTCTTGGTGTCAAGTGATCCTCCTAGCTTGACCTCCCAAAGTGTTAGGATTGTAGGCATGACCCACCACGCCAGGCTACACTGCTTCTTTTTAATGTAGCCTCTTACATACTTTTTGTTGTTTGTAGTCTCTACCTCCATTCTTTCTTAGGATATTATTATTTTTGAAAAGATCATTATGTTGGAGTTAGTTGGAATACTTTTCTGTGGAGTACTTTCTGCTAAACTGTTCAATCATCTCTATCACCTTGTGATGGACATTATCCCCATTTTAGAGATGAGGAGGTAAAGTGGTTGGGCTACAGTCAGACAGATTATCAGCAGAGCTGGGACTAGAACTGGAGTCTCCTGATTTATGTTCAGGCCTTTTTCTCTTACATCATGCTGCTGCTTGTACTCTTGTAAACTTGTGACTGCACATATAGCAGACTCCCAAATGTTTATCCTGCCTGCTTTCAAATGATCAATGAATCTTTGTATGCTACGCTGAAACAAATTAATTTTATCTTACTTTTCAACTCAAAAGTCATGAGACTTACCTAGCCCATGAGCAGCTATTAAAATTTTTTATTTTTTAAGTTTTTGAGTAAAGGTCTCACTCTGTTGTTCAGGCCGGATACAGTGATACCATCAGGACTCACTGCAGCCTTGACCTCCTGGGCTCAAGTGATCCTCCCACCTCCACCTCCGGAGTAGCTGGGCTCACAGGTGTGCACCACCACATCCAGCTTATTTTTTAGAGCTGAGGTCTGGCTGTGTTGCCCAGGCTGGTCTCAAACTCCTGGGCTTAAGCAATCCTCCCGCCTCGGCCTTTCAAAGGACTATCATTACAGGTGTGAGTTACCGTACTTGGCTAAGCATTTAATTTTATACTGAATATGGGATTGGAAACTTGTGCATTTCTCTTTTTTTTTTTGAGTTGGAGTCTCACTCTGTCACCCAGACTGGAGTACAGTGGCTCCCGGCCACCGCAGCCTCAACCTGCTGGGCTCCGGCGATCCTTTCGCCTCAGCCTTCCAAGTAGCTGAACTACAGGCACGCGCTACCACGCCTGGCTAATTTTTTGATTTATTGTAGAGATGAGGTCTCGCCAAGTTTGCCCAGGTGGGTCTCGAACCCGCGGGCTCAGGCAGTCCACTCACCTCGGCCTCCCAAAGCGCTGGGATTACA